GGGTTTTTTTTAAACTGAGGGTATCAGCACCTCTAACCACAGATTGCAACCATTCACAACCCACAACACCTCAGGAAACTCAGACCCCTTAAAACGACAGAAACACTCTGAGTTCAGAGAACAAAACCTTTYAGGGACTGGCTGAGCGTTGCCTGGGATCTGTGCCAAGGATTTCAGCTGGAGGAGGAACGAGGCCCTTCATTTGGCCCGTGAGGGCAGGCACAGTGCACCAAGTGCYGCTCGGCGCTGCGGTCCCCGAGCAGTGGGCTGTGCTTACCTCATCGCGCACACGTAGGTGAGCCRGGCCAGGATGTTTGCTTTTGTCGTGGGCAGCATGACAAGAATGGGGCCTCCAAAAAAGGTCACTCAGGATGTGTTCAACAACAGCGGGTGAAGGCTGTGGCAAAGGCCTCTGCAGGCACACACACACACAGAGCATCCACTGCACATCCCCTCAGCTCAGGGCGTTATTATTCCCAGAATAACTGCTGGACAGGCACTCCACCCTTGTACTTCCAGTGCTGGGGATGTGATTGTCCCAGAGCCACTTGTTACAGTGATTTTATGGAAGGGCAGAGGGAAAGGCCCCTGATTTCCGGGACCTCATTTGAAGAGATGCATGGTAAAGGAGATTAAGAGCAGAGTAAGTTTGGAATCTGTCACCCCCTTGTGAGCTGAGCAGCAGAGAGCAAGAGGCTTCCTGAGACCAGCACRGGCACTCAGATGGCACAGAGCACTGCCAAAGGACAAGCACCCACCTGTTCAAATAGAAGTCAATATGCTTTATTAGGCAAGAGTGCTACAGGTGCTCCTACGTGATGAAAGGAACTCCAGCACGGTGATGGGAYGTGTAGTTTTACTCGTAGGAGAATCCTGGAAGGCAAATCCATCAGACTGAATAGAAAACTTTCTTTTTTTTTTTTTCAAATCCTGCAGATTTGTGACAATCCACAAAGCTCTTCCAAGGGGTCATGAAGAGATGACAGAAAGCCACTTGTAGTAACTTAAATTTGTTGTAAAAAAAGAGCTTGCCTTTGYCTTGTGAATCCTGTCCAGACTGAAGTCAGACTCAGTAAAAGGAAGCAGCACAAGGGTTGACACAGAGCTGCTGAGATGAGGGGTTTACAAGGTTGAGGTGGTATGTTTGGATTGAAAAATGACCTAAAGCTGAAACTCAAAGCAGTCAGAATGGGGGGAAGTCAGACCCAGGTCTGTTCCTGCAACTGTCAGTTCCTTCTGTGCATAGTTTTGGATAAAATTTGCAATTATATGGTGATACCAGGGAGGCCTGTGTGTGTCACCCATGTTCCAGCTGAGGCACCTGGCCCAGGTGAGCACTCAGAATCCTTGGCTGAGCCTGGGCTGGGCTGTCTCTGGAGCAGGGAGCAGGAGGCAGCAGGAGCAGGTCTGGGACAAAGGCTCGACAGGGAGGGAGGGCAATGAGGAYCACCAAGTGTCGGAGCATCAACAGTAGAATCACAGAATCAYAGAGGGATCTGGGCTGGAAGGGATCACAAAAACCATCTTGTTTCCACACAGCAGGGACCCCTTCCCCTAGACCAGATTGCTCAATGATTATCTTAAATAAATTTCATCCTGAAAGCTGGGGTCTGTCTTATCCATCTTTTCCTGTCATCTTTCACCCTGGAGTGAGGATTTCCTCGCTCTGCCGTGGYTCCTGATATTCACCATAGGTGATAGCACCTCCAGGCTGTCTCCCAGCTCTCWTTGCAGGATACCTGCAAGGAAAGCCCTGCAACACTGTGGCACTTGACACTGGGTGTAGCACTCCTAGAGTGGGAAGTGGAGAATGTGCCAGTGTGAAATGGTTTTGATCTTTAAATTCAGATCCATTTTTTCCTATTTTTTTTTCCCACAAACGATTTCCATTAATTGTCAGCAATTTCTTAGCTGAAAACTCAATTCATTAAACACCACAGAACAATAAGGAAATCTAAATAACCAATACCAGCTCCTGTGGTAAAAGTCATAGCAATACTGTTATTGCTGATGCATCAGCATAACAGTGCAAGACCAGAAAGGTTTGTCATCCCTTCCATTACAACAGGCTTGGCTGAAGGAGTAAAGCAGCTTTCATACATGTGGTTACCCCACCAAAAACTGAATGAGTAGAAGATAAGTGAAATACCCACAGAAGAATTAAATTGATCAGCCTAAAATAAAAAAGACATGGATTGTAAAAAAACCCCAAACAAACAGCAAAAACCCCACATGCAGTGGGCATTTTTAAGTTTAAAACAAAAAAAGTTGATGAAAAAGCAAAATTTGTATTATCATCCTCACAAGAAGAGACTTTATAAATTCACTTTAGCCCAGCAGCTTAAACAGAACTTAGCAAAGTCTGGTGTTTTGCTGACCCTGTGGGAAACTTTAGAAAACACCAAATAATTTAAGCATGTAAAAGTAATCTTTGCTTGTCTGACTATTATAAAAAGAGAAACAGCTGCTCACAACTAGCATGTGCTTGAATGAGGTTGAATACAATTTTCAAACATCTGAAAATGTTTTCTGTACCACCAAGGCACTGGAGAGAAATCAGATCAGTGTAAGSTGGCAAGCACAGAGAAGTATCATGGTGAATATGAAACATCAAACCAGAAAAACTATGTTCACAAAAGAATGACAAAATATTCCGAGAGGGTACACYGCCTCTGTAAGAAACTTCAGCAACTGCCCCTGAGGTATCAATATCCACACTTCCATAGGAATCTAATAAAGGGGGCAAAKWAAAAAAAGAGACAGAAAAACGAACCAACTAAAACCCCCAAACATTTGCTCTAAGACCAGAGTGAAAAATAYGGGTGGATAATTTTAACAAGAGATTTAACTTAAAAAAAAAGAGAAGAAAAATTAAGTGTCCTTTCCTTCTAAGCTATCCTTTAATTTAAAGCATTTCAGATGTTATAACCAGTAAAAAACATCTGAGGCTTGGGTTGTCTTTCACTGCAGCTAGCTTTGTCAGTCCACTCAGTTGAAGATCTGACCCTTATACACTTTGGCTAAAAAGTGCTGTCATTTACACAGGTGAATATACTCTGATGCAAGTCTCTGGATTTACACAGGTGTGGCAGCAGGATTTGGCAGAGTTTTGCTAATTTTAAACAACAAAAAAAACCAAAATCAGATCCACTTTTGCAGTGGGTTACAGCTGTATCAGTTCATTAATGTTATCAATCCACTATATGCTGATGGCACAGCTCCACGGCTTGTTAATGAAACTAAGAATTTTTCATGCTGTACATTAAATTTTTCATACAGCTAGAGACTGTAACTGAACCTAACATTGCTACAGGTAAAACCCTCCGGTTTCATTATAGAAATATTCGTTGTTTTGTCAGTTTTATATTAAATTTTGAAAGAAACATTAACACAATCTAGTTTTAGTACCTGTCACTCCTGTCGTCACTGATTCACCCATATAGTGTCCCATTAGTATAGCATTTTCTACATTATGGAACCACTTTTTTTTTTTTTTAAATCAAAAAATTTGTTTGTAAAGACCCAGAACATTGGTAGGGCACCTGAGAAAAAAAATTGTTTGTAAAGACCCAGAACATTGGTAGGGCACCTGAGAAAGCAGGTCTTGTATCTTAGAACATTTTTTACATCACTATCCACTTACTAATTTTCAGTCCGGTCCTTTCCAGCTCAGGATAGCCTATGGCTCTATGTCCCTTTTTAGTTCTTCCAGGCTTGTTTGTTGTACCTGGAATAATAAAAATGGGCTGATTTGGGTGATTTCAGGATTAATTCAGACCCCAGAACTGTTGCCCACACTGAGGTGTGGGACTCCATAAAACTTCCAGACAGATGTGCAATACAGAAGCAAACATTCAGCTTTTAAGTGTTTCACACATTATTTTCAGCTGTTTGGCTAGYTTTAGATTATTTATGTGACTCAGAATGAAACAGGAGAAATAAAWGGGACAGTTTATTTGAAGTAGGCTCTGCTCATATTAAGTTCCCTATGCTTAAATGGAGTGACACAAATATGAGCCCAACAGGTTTGGTGTGGAATTTACACCATAATTAAGGGGAAATCAGGCTCAGGACAACTTTRTATCAACTTTTAACACCAAATTTTCAAAATTTCAAAGTTTTAGCAGTATTTGATATTCCCACTAAATCAGAATGCAGCTTGTATTTGATGTTTCCACTAAATCAGATTGCAGCTTGGAAACAGTGAGGGGAGGTGGGAGTCTGAATAAACAAATCTGAAAAAAAAGAAAGATAATTCAGGTCCAAAGGGTCATTCCCTTCAGTTCAAGTGCAGTGGATTGCTCTTCCTGGATCCAACAGTAGGGGCGTGGGAAGCTTTCAGATGTCACAGGGTTGTAGATAACATTTGAACATATGATTAGCTTTCGTGAGCTGTCTTTAGAAACCTTACATTTTTCCCCCACACACCTTAGCCAGAGATCCTTCCCTTGAGGTTTTGGGATACTTAAAATGTTGCTTTGCCAAAAATCAAGGATGTGGAGAAGGTTTTCCTGTGTGATGTCATGTTGCTGCCCTTTATAAGCCTGTGCAGAGAAGAAGGAATCCTGTCTGAGGATTCACAGTCCAGGCAGGAGGAAAGGCGAGGAGCAGACGTTGACCCACCATGGAGCAGCGAGCCAATCCCCAGGGCATTCCCTGCARCTCCCTGCTCCTGCTGCTCTGCAGCCTGAAGGCTTCTCTGGCCTTTCCCAACTCCTCTCCACTGCTGAGCCCCAGCTGGGGCAATGGAGGCCACCTGATGCACCTCTACACYGACACGGAGAGGAGCAGCTTCCACCTGCAGATCAATGCTGACGGCTACATCGATGGTGCTCCTCACCAAACCATCTACAGTAAGTGGCTTCATACGGACCTTCACGGGAGCAGGGGAGGGACAAGAAGGTTTTTCACTTCCTCACTGCCTATAGAAAATCCCCTTCTCTCATTAGGCAGGCAGGCAGAGGAGCACAGCTATGGGATGGAAAATACCCATCATTGTAACTGCCCTTTTGTTTAACGAATAAAAAATAAAATTATTTTTAATGAAGAATAAACTCCAAAGAAATCTAGTGAATGGGGAATTTCATTCCTTGCCTAGGACAACTAAAGTCCTGTGGCTCCTGTAATACTCTGCAAGGAAAAACCACCTGAATTGTCCTTCATTTCATGATTTTACCCAGTATCTTGTGGAAGTTCCTATCAGAAGTTGGTGATGGCATCCCTTAAATAACTGATGGTGCTACCACTGATGGTGCTACCAAAGGAACTGCACTGAGGGTGCTACCAAAGGAACTGCACTGAGGGTGCTCACCAGAGCAGCACTCCAAAACTGATGGCATCCATAAGATCTGTATTTTGGGGTAAAGGGCTGAACACTACTAAAACTTAAGTTTCACTACTAAAACTTAAGGACAGAACGTGGACATGCAAAGGTCAGTTAAAAAGGGGAAACCTATGAAAAACCAGACTGGTATAAAAGAAGTGTTGAGCTTTTGGGGCTCAGGAGAAGTAACTATTCCCTACTATAACTAAAAGATTTTCAAATTGTGTATTCACAGTTTATTATATATTCTATTACTTTATTTAAACAGGTAATAGTTTACTRTTCTTCCTTTGCTAAATGGCCCAAACTCTTCAGTTAGTAATTAAATGTGGGGGGTTTTAAGACTTCGGGTTCTTTTTATTCAAAAGTACTTCTCTCTTGGGAGCACTCAAATCACAAGTAGCTATGCACCCTAAAATTAAACAGTTGTTGTTATTATTATTATCTATTTTATACACTCAGTTAAAAATCGACGCCTAGGAAATGAAGCCTTTAAAATGTAAATAAGGATGTTTTTAAAAGTTACACTTTAGTGAATGAGGAACAAGGATCATACTCTCCTGGTGTTTTTAAAAATTGATAATTGAACGTTCACAAGAATGCTGGCACTGTCTTGTTATTCTTCCTGYGTATTTAAAGATTTTATAAAACTGATTGTAGGTATGTTGGTCAAGAACCAATTTGGGTTTTAGAGAACAGACAGCAAGTACCACATTTTCCGATATCTGCCGTGAAACAAGTACAGCAGGGTTTGAAATGATGGAGCAGGAAGGGTGGAAATCAGACAACAAAAGGCGTTATGAGAGGGAGGGTGACTGATTTGGTGCCCCTGAGCCAGCAGACAATGGGAAGTGCCAGGTTTTGCACCACAGTGGTATGGCCTGGGTGTGCACAGATCTCCCGGGTGGCACAAGAGAACAGGCACCGAGTAAAATGCAAGGAGCAGATGAAGGGAAGTTGTTATTCCCACATTACCTGGCACCAGTGACATTGCTCTCAGAGCACTACAGCAACCCCAGGTCAAGCTGGATGAGGAGAAGGTRGAGCTGCTCTGGCAGAGGGTTTTCAGGAGGCCTTGACTGTGATCTGTTGAGAAGGGTTTGTGGTTTCAGTCCAGCAAAATGGATGTTAAGGGTAATGCAATCACAGAACCAGTGACTGGTTCGGGYTGGAAGGGACCATCTCGGTCCTGCCTCCCTGCTCCAGCAGGGGATCCCAGAGCACAGGGCACAGGATTGTGTCCATATGGCTCTGGAATAYCCCCAGTGAGGAGACTCCACGCCCTTCTGGACAATCTGTTCAGGGTTTGGTCAGAAGTTCTGTCTCCTGTGCAGGTGGAACATCAGTTTGTGCCTGTTCCTCCTGTGTTATTGCTGGGCACTACTGATAAAATGCCACAGGAYGGTCACAGAGATGAGGGTGACAAACTCATCCTGGATGTGGGCAATGGCAGAATTGAGGGCAGGGTGCTCAGACCACGCTTTGGGACATGAGAGAGAAAAAAAAGTTGTCTTTGGGAGGTTAGTGCCACATTGGAACAGAGCACCCAGAGAGGTGCCATCCAGCCTGGGAGATTTCCAAAGTCAGAGTGAACCTGATTTAGGGCAGGCAACAGTCTCAGGTCTTGTGAGAGGTTGYTTTGGACCTTCCAGCCAGAGCACATGTAGATCTGTAAATGCAATGTTGAACTGGATCTTGGATTAGACGTTTTTGTTTCCTGAACAGGTGCCCTAATGATCAAGTCAGAGAGTGCTGGCTCAGTAATAATCACAGGTGTGAAGAGTGGACGCTACCTGTGTATGGACACGAAAGGAAACATATTTGGCTCGGTGAGTGACCTTTCCTAAGGSTTGAGGCTGAATGGCCAGTGCATTCTGCTGCTGTGGTGCCCATTTCCCCAGGCAGGGCAAGCCTTGCTAGCTGCAGGTGGAGGGGGAAAACATAAGAGAGGATCTGACACGTACGTAAAACTTTCCCCTTTCCTTTGATTGCATTAAGCTGTAGAACTGACAAAAACTATCTCAGATCCTACTTGGGTAAATGAGGACAAAATGAAATCCAGTGAGGGACCAAACTTAATTCCTGCTGTAGCACAGAGCCATGGGTTGGGACCCTCTGGGAGGAAACGAGGTTCATCATTAAAATTCCTCTGATGAAGCACAGACACGGAACTCAGATCTATATTTSGGTCAGATACTGACCCAGGAAACTGGAAAAACACCTGCTGAACATTGCATCCCTCCTCCCTCTTTATCCTGTGTTTGTAATTCAGCAGATTGCCTTGCTTACAGGTGTCCTGTTGTTTTCCCTCAGCATTACTTCAGCCAGGAGGACTGTGTATTCAACCACAGGACACTAGAAAACGGGTATGACGTGTATCAATCCCCCAAACACCACTTCCTGGTGAGCTTAGGCAGAGTTAAACAAGCCTTCTCCCCYGGTATGAACCCACCACCATACTCGCAGTTTTTGTCCAGGAGGAATGAGATCCCCCTGTTTCGATTCAACACCCCCGAGCCCCACAGGCACACCAGGAGTGCCGATGTCGATCCAGCRGATCCTCACCAGATCCTGGTCCCACAGAGGAAGGCCCCAGCGTTTGGCTCCCCAGTGCAGCAGCCAGCAGACCTTCCCCACCTGCCCAGGGAACCCGTGAGAATCAATCAGAACGACGTGGTGAATCCCGATGATCCYCATGCCATGATGGAGGTCAGGAGGTACCCCAGCCCCCGCTTCTACATCACCAGATAAACGCAGCCCCGGCGCTCGCCAGGTGAAGACAGAGGCAAAAGGAACTGGCTGTCACACTCACCCTGAATGCCAAAGTGGCTCTTTAGAAACCTGGGAGACATTGGGRAAAATTCCTTAGTTTCAAATCTTGTTTTTAAGTAAACTATCCTCTGTAAGTACAAGTTGGATTTTTCCAGCTAGCGCTCTACTGGAAAGAAGATCCATTTTTGAAAAGAATATTACAAACCAAACCTTTTAGGGTCTGAATCACCTTAAATTGGCATCAATGAGAAAAAAATATAGAAAACCCTTGAATGAAATGGGAAACTGATGTTATGTCACTGATRTAGAGACCTGGAGCATCTGAGATTCAGGGAATCCTCTTACTAGCACCATCCAATCCAAGAACAGCAGACAAACTGTCAGGTGGTGTGTTATTATTTAAAAATTACTATATATGTCATATATCCAGTATCTGCAGGGGCTACAAGGAGAGGGGCTCTTCATCAGGAACTGGAGTGACAGGACAAGGGGCAATGGCTTCACTCGGACAGAGTGCAGGGTTAGATTGGACATTAGGAAGTTCTTCCCTGTGAGGTGASGGTGGGAGGCCCTGGCACAGGGTGCCCAGAGCAGCTGTGGCTGCCCCTGGATCCCTKKSAGTGCCCAAGGCYAGGCTGGATGGGGCATGTCAAGACACAAATACTCTAAATAGAGCAGAAGAATCTATCAGCCTCACAACAATTTGAAGTGGTASATTTCTCCTCAGTGTGCTCATAGCAACATACAAAAACATTAAGCTGGATGCTGGCCCTATTTTTTTGTTTTCTCATGAAGTAATTCATTGAAGCCACTGGAGTTACACCAATGCAACAAAAACTAAACAAGACCCCCCTGTTTCTTGCTTATTTTTTTCTGGATTTAGCACAGGCTCTGTCTGGCTGACAGCATTTTAAATAATCTCTTTTTTTCCCCATATATGTATACATAGATGATATCTCTGTATCTACATCCAACCCATTATGTTAGAAAAGCTGTAGGTCCTGATGCGGCTCTTAGAATAGTTTTCCTATATGGAAAGATTCCTAATGCGTAAAAATATTTATGAGTACAAGACAAGCCAAATGATCAAGGTTAGACCAAGAGTCCCATCTCTTGGAATTTGCTTTTCTAAACTGATCATGATTTTGATTAATTTCTGAAGGAAAGGAGTGATTCTAAGGAATTACAGGAATTTCAGCCAGGCAGACTGTTGCTGTTGTGCTTTTTCTTGCTTTTTCAAAATACAGCAAGACTTTTAAACTTGCTGTCTGYACGGTGGAGAAGTGTGATTTTATTTTAGTTTGATAACTACTTGATTCTTATACCATTATTCTTGGCTTTTGCTCCTTGACAACTCTGGACTTCAAGTACACCAGCAGTTTGCATTTTGCATTAATAGTGGGAAGTTCCACAGAGCTCCCTAAGTCTGCCACAACTGACCTACAACTGGATCATTAAAAGCTCTGCCCACATTAAATTTAGATGGGAAATGTTGGAGAGATTCAATCTCTAGACCATCTCTGTATTTCTACATTAGAACAGAGTAAGCTGGGTTGCTCATTCTGTCCAGGGGATAAGTAAGCTAAGGCTGAACACACAGTGGATTTTCCATCAGAAAACCCTATTTTAACTTTAGGCAACTATATAAAAATGTAAAGGAATTTATTCTTCAATGGAGATGCTGGCAACCACCAGCTACTAAGAAAACATTACTTATTTATGTTCACAATATTTATTTATTTATTTGAGTGGGTCTTAAATTCTGCAGAATATTTATAAATATTTATAAAAATGTATTATAGAGACTATTTCCTTTTATAAATGTACCAATAAACTTTTCCMTTCTCTCCAACTGGTGGGTTCTGCATTATCAATTCAAGCTCCCTATTCCAGAAATACTTGAGGGAGCAAATAGATGGCATTAGCAGTATCTGAACACGCTTGTGTGATCACATTTCATTTTTCCCTTGCCTATATATTAGTTACTTCATCAACGAGCTACCCATTTAATCTAGTGTGACCTACTTACARTAAAAACTCATTTAATTAGATTCCAGATTTCATTTACCTCCTTTGTGTCTMATTAGCTTCTCCTTCAGATTTTGTTGCATTTACCATTATTTAAATTTCTTTGAAAAAGTAGAATTAAGATGTGATTCTTAGGACTGTCCTGAGTCAGGAGCTGGACTCAGTGGTCCTTGTGGGACCCTTCCAACTCATAACATTCCACAATTCCAAAACTAATTTTGTGATTCCTGCATTTCTGAAATCAAACCTCCTTTTTTTACCGCAGCATTTAGACACAAGTAAATTCACTTTTCAATGGCCAGCTCTTCCAAAACGTACTCAGGACTTATTACAGTCAAGTTTGGTGCACCACCCCTCTCCCATTCAGCTATGGCTGGATTACCCAACTGGGCATCAGGAGGAGAGAATATTACACCCAGGTAYGCCCCAAAAGGAGCTCTGCCTGGACCTCAGGCGCGTTCTCTGGAGATCAGGATTCCCAGGTTTTATCMCTGTGTGCCATCCCCTCTGTGCCCCCAGCAGCCCTGCTGTCTCAGCAGCCTGGCACTCAGGTAAGTCATCCATTGGCACACATGGTCCCTGCACCCCGGGAAGCCCAGAGCTGTTTGTAAGTGACACCAGATCYGTCCCAGGCACCCAGGAGACCTGAATGGCATTGGCATCACCACACACACACAGACCTTCCAACAGTGGCTCTGCCATATTCATGGGCCAGAAAAGCAGCTCACTTACTGGGCAGCTGATTTGTGCCCAGGCAGCTGCCATTTACCTGGGATTATACAGATCCAAAAACCTCAGGGTCATGGCCAAACTCTCAAAAGTAGGACACTGGTGGAAATCTGACACAGTTCATATCTGGGCATGTGGGCTGTGGATCTGAGGCAGCCAAAAGCTTGGTCAAAGAATGCATCTGATTTAAATTCTATTCTAAACAAAGGAAAAGAAAAAAATACCTCCRAACTCCTCCTACTGCAAAGGCAGGGCTATGTCTCAAAAACATTTTYCAACAGAGAACTCAGGGAAGAGAGAAAATATCTTTGCCTTAGAGGAAAGAAACTGTGGTACTAGCAGAACTCTCTGCCYGCTGGCTGCTTGAGGTGAGGCAGCCCTGTGAGGATACGATGTTGGTGGAGCCAGCATCCATTGCCACTACTGAGCAATCCTTCAAGTATTTATGTTCTGTAACTATTCCTAACAGATACATCTATTACTGCAGTTCTCTTTTCCCATGTTCCAAATAAACTGTACAGATTTACTGTACAAATGCACAAGTAACACTGGACCAAAAAGAGATTTAGTCTCAGTGTTGATGTAAAAAGTTAAAAAGAGGACCACTATACACAGACCTATAGAAAACAGCTTTCAGGATTATCTTCAGAAGCTTCCAAAATTAGTGACTTTTCAATGCAGAGGGAACTTGACRTCTGACATAGCAAAGGAAGAATAACAAGGGTGACTATTCTAGGCCAGGCTAGAAGCTCACCTAGGCTGGTGTCCTGTCTCCACCAATGCCAAGTACCGATACCGAGGGAAAAAGCACAGCTGGACACTCTTGACTGCTTGTACTCCCMTGGCCACCGGCAGATGTGTTTGCACCATTTTAGTGTGTTGTACAAAGTCTGAATTGGGAGATTCTRACTCATTTTCACTGACAAGCATTACTTCATTAACACAGGAGCTGTTTAGAAAACCTGAGTGGTTTCACTCTTTAATACTTTTCCTTGTTAGGCACCACCGTACCATCTGCTTGCCTGATGTGAGAGTTACACAAGGAAAAAAATTGGGAACAATAATTTAAAGAAAACAATCACACAAACAGGTTTCTTATGATGGGTCAAAATTGTAACAACCTATAAATAAAAAAAATAAAAAGAAGAAAGTAAAGCATATTATAGACAAAGAGTCCAAAATCCCTCTGGGAAGAGTGTTACCAAAGCAGTGGCAAAGCACTTAACAAGGAAGTAGACGTTTTCCCAAGTTATTGGCACCATCAACAATAACAAAATATTATTTACCTGCTTGAGAGCAGTCAAGAAAGAAAAAGAAGCCTTTTAAAGTAAGGAGCACACTAATTACTAGGGTATTTTGAAATATATGACAAAATGACAGACTTAGGGAGAAAAACGTGTCACATCTCCACCCATCTTGCATTTTCAGCTCCATTACTCTGTCTCCAACAAGAATTAATACAATAACTGGCAAAATTCAAGACATGGCAATTCCAGGCGAATCCCAGCTGTTTAAAGTGCTGACAGGAGAATTCCCTGCTATGTAACTGGCCTTCCTGAAATAAACAGGCACTAGCASGGACAGGCAAAATAAGAATGAGTTCCTGCCCCACTCTCTATCATTAATTCTGTTAGATGTCATCAATTTAATATTGAGGATCCTTCAAGGAAGATGCATTTCAGAGAGAACTTGAGGATTCCATGCAGAAGTCCATACTCCCAGTTTAGCTTCCTGTGAAGACTTATTTCCTTCAGTATATTGAGAATGAATTCTATAATTTGTAAAAAAAAAGAGCTCTGGACATTTTTAAACAAGATCAGCCCTATAAGTCTCTTTCACCAATAAAAGGCCAGCCTCGGGTTTATCAGGGAAAAAAAAAGGAAGTTATGTGATCTGAGCAAAGCTTCACAAGGCAATACTAAGAAAGATTTTTACCTCAAAAGAAATACAGATGAAATGGGAATTCTATTCAGGACTCTTTAATTTTTAATTTTTTTAACAGGCTTAAAATAAGCAAATGACGAAAAAGTATGCAAGTATTATAAATAACATAAACCAGATAAGYTCACACTGTAACACCACAAACACCCCAGCAGGGAAAGAATGCAGTATTCACACCAACAATGGCCAAACAATCAAACTTGCCTTGTTCTAGGCAAAAATATTCAAAGAATCAAGGGCACAACTGCAGCTGATAGAAGGATCCCACTTGGGTTCAACTCCCCCCAGAGAGAAAGCTCCTTTTCCAGAAAATAAATCATTACTATGTGCACGTGAGGTTCCTCATCCTGCTTAGAGCTCAAAATACTTTGTGTACACTGCTTCTCCACAGAGATCTCGACAACCTGAACAATTTCTCAGGAAATATTCCTGGCGAGGTAGGTTTGTCATCATTCCCAGCCTACAAACGGAAAGCAGACTTGCCCAGAGACTCACAGATCTAATCTTTCCCATTGGGCAAAGCTCCTTCCTAGGTTATACTATTGCATTCAGAAATTTAAGACAACATGTATGTTTCCTATTACAATATATCACTTTGTAATAAAACAAGAATACAGTATAGCTCATCTTTGAGGTCCTGCTCCTCTTCCCTCCCCAACTCTTTCACATGGAGGTAACCAAAATAATTATGGAGCAATGGAAAAGAGTCATTTAAAATATGTGTTCTAGCAGCAGATATGCAAGTGACTGGAAGTATTGTTTGTGAGAACAGAAAATATTTGTTTCATTTTGCTACTGCCAACTTATACTGGGCACTAGGACCATGCAAATTGTGGGTTTTTTTAAGATAGTAAGCAGTTGCTTGTCTCCCTTTTTGCAGTTTAGTGTCAGCAATTCCAGTCAATCTCAGTAATTACTACAGATATTTTCCTCAAGCTTAGCAAAATGGTGATCTAAACCCACTTTCCCCCCACAGAGACTCTTAAAACACTTTTGAAGCTACTGATTCAGCTTCCACAYCCACCAAGTGAGAGTCTTGGTTCAGACAGACACATGTGATTTCAGGTTTTAATGAATTCCCRTTTCCAAGTTTTATAACAAAATGACTGACTCCTGTATTGGGACTGACAGAAGACAGCTGCGACTTGGTTAAATTTACTGGTAAGGTACAGTTGAGATCTGAAACAAAATAGCCAATCCAGTTCCTCATGTAGGCTCCATGACTCACCACCAAAATATTGGCATCTAATATTGCGGAAGATCCACTGCCCTCCGAACTCAGCTCTGCCTCACTGCAGTGGTTTGTCCAAGGAAAAACAAAGTGTTCTCCAGATGTTGCTGAGCTCCTGCCCGGTGCACCAACACTGCTGTGCTGCTTCTGCTCCAACTCAACAGCCAGCTGGCACAGGAATTCAAAAAAATCCCTTGCACGTTCTCTCACCTGCAGGGAAAGGCCAGAAGGGAACATTGTAAAGAACAGAGATAATTGTGAAGCAAAATTTTGCCTTTCAGAAATCTGACATAGAACTACTTCAGTTAAAAGACACAAATTTATCACAGACAGGGTTCAGAAGTTACTGACCACTGCACAAACCCCTCTGCCCTACAGAGAGTAACAGCCAGTATCCTCCTAGGAGCAAGAGGAGTCCATCTCAAAATTAGTATTTTAGTCAAAAGAGATTCCCCACTTGGCAGCAAGCAGTGTTTTTGTTTTAGAAAATATGTCTGGTTGGCCTGAGCTCTCAGTAGGAAGCTTCCAATAGCTGGAATTGCATAGACAAAAAAGCCTAGAAAGCAAAGCATAAATAAACAAACAAATAAATAAATAAATACCATACTTCATCCAGTGTTTCTCCGCCAGAAGGTGTGAATGAAGGACATTGCTCCCCAGCATCYTTTGCCATAGCCTTGAGGTCAGCCAAAGGCCTTCCTTCTGCAACACCATATTTCTGCAGGAGAAAAAGGGGCTTCAGCAGGATGTGTCAGGTCTCCTTCCAGAGGGTGTAAACAGCTCTTCACAGCTTTTTTGTCCTGGATTCTCAAGGCTTAGCCACCTTCACGTTTTATCCCAGTTTTGGGCAAGGAAATATCTTTATAGACATCTTTTTAAATAGCAGATATATACATATATATACATATATACATATATATACATATGTGTGTACACACACACACACACACACACACATACATATGTATACACCTATGTTGGGTAGACAAATACATTAATGCAGCATCTCATTTAAAGCACTGACATTCAAAACATGACCTTCAGCTTGGTCTTTCCCTGGAGATTTTTTCCTCCACTGACACTCATCCCCAGCATACACAAAATTCAAATGTCCTTGGGATTGAGGTCACAGTGCAAGTGCTTCTGTACATAGCCCTTTACAAGAGGATAAACTCCATTTACTTTTCACWTGCCAAAAGGAAACAGGAAATTATTTTTCACATATAAGAAACCAATATTTTCTCTACAGACCTGTGAAGTCTTCACAACAGAGAATGGATCCATTTTCAACTCAAAATTTATGAAAAARGCATTAAAAAAACCAAACAAAACCACAGAAGTACCCTCATGATTAAAAGCRAATAATAAGGCCTTGCTGATTTCAGAGGAAGAATTGGAATTTCTGAGAGAAAAAAGATTCAAATAGGAAATGCTACAATCACATGTACAATGTACAATCACTGAACCTTATGTTACTTAAATCATTAAAGATTCACAGTTGCAAGGCTCATCACTAAATTTTGGCTCTGCCTCACCATTCTGCGAACAATTTATTGTCCCTGATGTGAATAGGTCAGTTTTCAGTGATTAAAGGCACATCAAACAGTGCCTGCCACTGTTAAATCYACCAGTCAATAAGCGAAAATACCATCAGCAGTAAGTTACATTTTCAAATTGTTCAATATTTGATAATTATTTCTTTTAGCACTTACTCTCTCTCGCAGTCTTGCATCATACTTGATTTCCAGATCTCTGCAAAACTTGTTTTTTCCTAGAATTCCAGCAGCAGTCTAAAAAGTGAATATACAGTCACATCAATGGGACAGAACACTSACCACCATAGCCAAAGTCAATCCCATCAGCAGCACCCCACAGGACACACCAACAAAACAGAAAGTTTTTCAGCTACCAGTCTGTCAGAAGTGGATAGATGGCCCAGGTCAGGCCAAACAGAAAAGCTGCAATCTTCTGACAGTTCCTTCCCAATTCAAAGTCCAGGACYGCTGAAGACACTTAGCAGCTACGAGAGGTGGGCAGCAAGGTTTACCAGGATGAGAGCTACACCCTCTCTTGAGCACAACACAGAGCAACCATATCCACACACTCTTTACATGTAGTACATGGGCCTGGCCCACAGCTGTGTTACCTACAGTGTTCAGTTAATTCAACTGACAACACATCTGTCTGACACCTGTCTGGCAGCCACAGCCAATCCCTGGGATGGAAAGGACCTCTGGAGATCACCCAGTCCAGCTCCCCYGGCAAGGCAGGGTCCCCTGGAGCAGYTGACACGGGAGTGTGCTCAGGTGGGTTTGCAATGTCCCCRGAGAGGGACACTCCACACCCTCCCAGGGCAGCTGCTCCAGGACTCTGCTACTCTCAGYGTACAGAAATTCTTCCTCATGCTGAGGTGGAATATTTTGTGTTTTGGTTTGTGCCCATTGCTCCTCATCCTGTGCTGGGCACCACTGGACAGAGCCTGGCACCATCCTCCAACAGCCCCTTGGAGATATTTCTATGCATTAATGAGTTCCCCTCAGTCTTCTCCAGACTGACCAGGCCCAGCTCCCTCGGTGCCTCCTCMTAAGAGAGAAGCTCCAGACCCCTCATCATCTCTGTGGCCTCCACTGGATCCTCTCTGGTAGCTCCTTGTCTTTCTTGGGAACTAGAGGACAGCTGACCTGCTCCTGGCTCTTACATGCACCCAWGCGTGAGGGCTGCACTGGCTTCACAGACAGTTTGGACTCTGCAAACATCCACACCCAACCAAACTGACAGTTAAAGAGCTCCTTTTGAAAATGCTCCTTGGATTCTGGCACAAGCAAGCAGTTGCACCATTGGCACATTAAACATATTGCTTAGGACAAACTTTACACTGRAGGAGCTTTAACTTTCTGCCAAAGAACAACGTGGAAATAAAGATAAGGTTGAATCCACCTCCTTGTGCATATGCACARCATAGTTATTTGTATGATATATGTAGGAATTTCCTCTTTTGCAACAGAACTTGCACATTCCTCTAGCACTTGAGCTGTGAACTRACAGCATAGTAACAGGCCCTTCACAAACCTGCAGCTGCCAAGAAAGGGAGTTCCAACCACATGGAAACTTCAGCCATACACATCTATGGGAAAGCTTTTCCAGCACCTGGATTGCTTGTCAAACAAATGGCAAAACACATCGCCTATATGCAAAGGAAAAATGCAGGTCTTTCACATTATCAGAGTGCAAATGCTTCTCATGGAAAAGGTCTCTAATGTAAGAAAACAAATCCCAAACCAATTCCCAGGCAGACACACAGCACAGAGTGTTTCAATGAATGTTAGAAAGCATTCCTGATATTTTAAAACATCATCCAGGCCATTCCCACACATGAATGAAGTAACTTGCTGGGCAGCTATGCTGCGTTTTTAAAATATCCAACTACTGCACTCTTCCCGCCTTGTCTCTTCTGTTTCCTGCTTAAGTTGTGCTGCTAGAGCAGTTTCTAGAATTGTGCTGCAAAACTGATGAACAATGTTGATGGTGAATGTTTTAAGGGGAAAAAAGGAGATTTATACTACATGTTGGTGATCTGGTTTACAGCACAGCTTCATGGACTTTCAGCAAGATGACTGCACAAAAAGCAWGCAAGCAAGAATGGCTTAGTAGTTTCAACCTGCCCACATCTCCTGAAATCACAGAATCAGTAGCAGAGACAATGAAAGACAGGGCCTCCACAGGAGACATGACCTTCCTAGAAMAGCTGACCTCTAACTTTAAAAGTTTTGGCTCCCTCATTTTGAGTATTTCATAATTGTGCACAGAAGGTCACACAGTAATTAAAGTTTTCTCCTYTTTGTTTAATCTAYAGTGTATATTTGCTGCATCAAGGCRAGAGGTGTAACATCCCTGAAAAAATCCAACATCTCTGCACATTTAAGGATCCTTGTATTGACTTCACAGCAAAACGTGATCTTGCCTGTGTTGGTCTGCACTCCTCAGAAGAATACAGCATGAGACAGTCACAACAATGTCACAGCCAGCCTGCTTTGCTTCCTCAAAGAAAAACCTGTGTGTGATGCCTCAAAGCCCCCATTACTGCTTTAGCAAGAACCAATGCACATATAGCACAATGGCAAATCATGGAATCATKAAATGGTTTGGGTTGGAAGGGAACCTTAGAGATCACCCACTTCTGCCATGGGCAGGAATACCTTCCACCATCCCAAGCTGCTCTGAGCCCCATCCAACCCAGCCTTGGATGCTTTCAGGGATGAGACAGCTTTTATGTCTGTCACTGCATTATTTCTGCACCCCCCACAGTGAATAAATGCCAAATTTGGAAGCTAATTGTTGCCTCAAGAAGCACTTACCTGCTTAGCTCGAAGGAGGTCACTTGAAAAGACATGGGTAAACTTTACATTACTGAGAAATAAACCAGCAGCATCTGCTTGCCTGAAACCAGTTGCAGAGAGTGGCTCATCCACTCCTTGACCTACAAAAYAAAAACCCCACAATACTAAGACATGCAAATTTTAGATCATTTAGCAGCTGACCATGCATGCCAGCAATAAAGAAACTGCCCAGTAATAATAAAATCTTTCTCCTTTAGTAAAGCCAAGCATTAGAGAAAGTCACTGCTCTTCTGATCTTCCCCAAACTGACTCACACAAATTTAATGATAAAAAGGAGAAAAGCCTAGGAAGACAGAAGGATCATTATCAATTATATTTATATTAATCTATATCTATGACAAATTTAAACATAAAACAGAGACCTACATTTATTAAATGTGACCATTTTTAGAAGAGTTGCTGATTGGCTTCCTGCAAGAGATATCTTACAGCTGAAACTTTATAAATAGATGTGTTAATGTAAGTAAGAAAAGAGGGCAATACAGCTGAGAGAATGAGATGCAAACCCAAACTRTTGTAGTCTCTTCCTCTTCAACTCACACATGGGCAGTAATGCTCATGCAAGCTGGAATAAACCCAGCTGGAAAGCAGCAAACCTCCCCAAAATTGTTTCCAGACAGAAAGTCTGTGAGAATAACTGGTCACAGGGCTCTAGGGCCGTGTTGAGAGAAGCAGCCCTCTGGAAACCCCACCTGAGTGAAACAGGTGTGCTCCTGTCACAGCTCAGAGTCTGCAGAAGAACCACAACTGCAACAGAGGGACAAACATGTAAKAAATTGCTACATCCACACTGTTAACCTACTGTAGTTCTGCAGGAAGCCAAAGCAGAGAAAGTGAAATTTCCATCAGATTCAGAACTAAGGAAAAGAATMSCTATTTTCACCCAGAAAACAATCCWCCAGCAAAAGATAAGACATCAGAAATCCAGAACCTGAGCTCTGAGCACCTCCTTTGTAATTCAGACATGTGAGACCTCTGAACCTACTGTGCTGGTAACAGGTCTTACACCCCTCAAAACAAAAGAGGCTCATAAAAGAAGCWATGTTCTCTCTACACTGCAGAGGGGACAGGAACCCACTATATGCCMCTTGATCCAAAGAGCAGGGAATTCAAACAACATCATTGATATTKTTAAGGAAGTAAAACAGGGGAATATTATTTATTCGCTTCATTATGAGCACAAATCCATGTTGCCAGAACTGTAAACAGCAATGTCACAGAGGGAGGAAAATCTGGAAGCACAACTCTTCCTCACAACACAAAGCACTGCAGAAAGTTCATTTATTCAGAGTACAACCCTACTTGGCTCCTTGTGGCAGTGAGCCTTGATGTGCCTACGGAAGACATCCAGGCAGCTCAGAGTGTTCAGTTCTGGGTGTACAAGTCAGCAGTCACTAAGGTGAATCTAMTTTTAAACGTGTCTAATGAAGATTACCTTCCTAGAAAGAGATGGGATTGCACAATTCCAGCATTTAAACAATCTTTAGTTTTCATTCTCCCTTGCTCTACTGCAGGTTTTCACTGCAAGTAATAGATTCCCTCCTCCAGGCAACAGCCTCCATCACAACAGGATCATTATCTATCMTTTGCAGCTCCTTTTCCCAAGCTTCATAGTACTGGGATTTAACACAGTGCTACGGGATGCCCTGGAGTCCTTAGTAAAAGGTGCTGCTAGCACTTCATTTGATTACAGGCAGCATTTTGCCATGTGTAGAAAAAGAACGCTTCKAATACTCCTTAGGAAACTAGAAATGCATTGGCCTCTGTTCATATTCTGTGGAGGGTAACTTAAAATCCTCTGTACAGTTAGGAAAGTCATGTCCAGGCTTACACATATAGTGTCTTAAGGTTTACAGTATTATTCCTTAATAAYATCTGAGCAATGGGTGTCAGGAGTTCACCACAATTTTCTATCTCTAACCTGCTACCAGAATAACTCTTACTAACCTTGCAGTATCTTGTCTTTGTTGTATCTTGTTTCTCCACTGAAAGAAACCATAAACAACAAAAGATTAACCCATCATAAATTTACTGTTTTTCAAAAATGCTGTTGCATTAAATAACAACAGGAGACAGCAGAGCCKGAATGGAAAAAAAATGAGATACAGTACAGCACAGACTCTTTTCAAAACGATACACATAAAGGCTTTATAACAATACAAAACCATTTTCAAGTAGTCAATTCCAACCATGCTGCTAGTAWTTAATTTAAAGCCATCTGGAATAAGAGTAAGAGAAATAATTTCTTAAATTTACCATAAATGCAGCACAATTTATCTGCAGTAACTACACCTSTGTGGTGGACAGAATAAAGCTGCGGGAAGACTCTGGAGCCCTCTTATGACAAGCACATGTTAGCAGCTGTTTCTCTGAAGTTTACAGAGAACCAGTTCCAGATATTACCAAGGGTAGCAGCAGAGCTGCACACCTTGGAGAAACAGAGCCTAAGGAGTCAGAGCAGAAAACATCACAGAGTCACGGAATGATCTATGTTGGAAGGGACCTTAAAGCTCACCCAGTTCCAACCCCTGCCATGGCAGGGACACTTCCACTGTCCCAGGGTGCTCAGAGCCCCGTCCAGCCTGGCCTTGGGCACTCAAAGGGATCCAGGGGCAGCCACAGCTGCTCTGGGCACCCTGTGCCAGGGCCTCCCACCCTCCCAGGGAACGATTTCTTCCTCATATCCCATCTAACCCTCCTCTCTGTCAGTGTGAAGCCATTGCCCCTTCCCTGTCACTCCAGGCCCTTGTCAAGAGTCTCTSTCCATCTTTGCTGTGGGCTCCCTTCAGGCACTGCCAGGCCACAATGAGCTCACCCCAAAGCCTTCCCTTCTCCAGGCTGAACAATCCCAATCCYCTCAGCCTTTCCTCCCAGCAGAGCTGCTYCATCCCTCTGATCCCCTTGGTGTCCCTGCTCTGGACTGGCTCCAGCAGCTCCCTGTCCTTGCTGTGCAGGGCTCCAGGGCTGAAGCAGCCCTGCAGGGGGGTCTCAGCAGAGCAGAGGGGCAGAATCCCTCCTCCTCTGATACCCATGGAGCTTATGCTAAACGAGAAAAAAAAAAAAAAAGCTCAGCTTTCCTACAAATTAAAGAGTCTTCTCCTGCCAGCTGCAGGAAGGTGGAGCTACTCGGYCCAGTCAGCTAAACACCTGTCAATGGAGTGGAAGAAAAAGTCACCTTAAGAATTCTCCCCGAGTTACAAGACACCAAGCGCTTAACGTTTCACGGGAGAAMTGTTCACACACCCTTCCCATCCGAGCTGCTTGCCGCGCCTGAGGGCTTTTGCTCAGTCCCTCCCTCCCGCTGCCCGTGAGGCGCGGACGCGGGGCCCCGGGACACCGCCACCGCCGGGAGGTACTCACTGCCGCACGACCGTCAGCCCGAAGCGAACCATGGCGCAGGGGAGCGCAGCTGTGGCGGTATGCGCCCAGGTGTGGCGATGTGCGCTCAGGGCAGCCCAGGTGTGGCGATATGTCCCAGGGCAGCCCAGGTGTGGGGATATGAGCGCAGGTGTGGCGATATGCGCTCAGGGCAGCCCAGGTGTGGCGATATGAGCGCAGGTATGGCGATATGCCCTCAGGGCAGCCCAGGTGTGGCGATATGAGCGCAGGTATGGCGATATGCCCTCAGGGCAGCCCAGGTGTGGCGATATGCCCTCAGGGCAGCCCAGGTGTGGCGATATGCCCTCAGGGCAGCCCAGGTGTGGCGATATGAGCGCAGGTATGGCGCTATGCCCTCAGGGCAGCGCAGGTGAGCTCCAGGTGAGCGCAGCTCCGGCCGCCCGCACTGCGGCGCCGCGCGCCCCGCTCTGACGTCATGGCACCGCCTCGCGCCGCGCTGTGACGTCACCGGGGGCGGGATCTGAGGCGATGGCCATGGCAATGGCGGCTCCGGCCGTGAGGGAGGCTCCGGGAGGGTTTGCGGCCCGGCAGCTCCTGACGGTAGGGGGCAGCCAGCGCTGCTTCCCCAGCGACAGGACTGCAGAGAGCGGCCTCACGGCTGGCTCGGGCTGCACATCCGGAAGAAATTTCCTCTCCTAGAAGGTTATCCAGCATTCAAACCAGCGCTGGTGGCATTTAAACGCCCCACCGTGGCTCTGGTGCCTGGGGAGAGAGTTCGGTGGTGTCAGAGACTGAAATAATTCGTGCCTCARACATTGATATAAAGTTTTCTTCAAAAACTGTATAAAGAAGCTTCCCTGAGGATACCCAGTTGGGACTGCCAGGAAACCTGTTCTTGAGTCATCTCTGGATGAAGGAAAAGAATGCGTCCACACAAAAGCAGCAGAGATTCCTCCCTGGGCGGATTTGGGGTGGGGGAGGCCACCAAGCCAGATCTCCACACACTTTTCTCCCCTTTCCCCGAGACAGGGGCAGGGAGAGACAGRCTGGCCTCGCTGTGCAATCTCCCCCCAGCCCCACAGGCTGCCCCACCGGACCGGCACTTGAGGGGGTGTCACAATCCATCAAAGATCCCCGGGATAAAGCTTTGCACCACAGGATGCAACTGATCCAGAGACTGTCCCGTCCATCGTTCCCTCCCCTCAACCCGGGGAGCATGGCCAGGCATTCCTAGACATTTGCTATCAAATAAAACCAATATTGCTCACTGGCATATGGTCTTGTTTGCACCTTAATTCGGGTAGAGGTGTTTCTAAGAACCTTTAATAATTGGATCATAACAGATCGCAGGTGTGGCAGGGTGAAGTTTACGTTTTCGCCATTCTGAATGGTTCTGTACTCTTACTTTGCGGTTACACAAGACACTTTCACCTTAAAGCTCTGGGTTTCGCAGCATTTCATGAGGCTGGTGTGAAGGAAGCTTCCTTGTCTGAGCATCATGGAGGTGCTTTGAGTCACCTGAGCTGGGACTGRAGCCCGTTCCTGGCTGCATCCCCCACATTCACAGTTGGACCCGGTTTCCTTACTGGCTTGATTCCAGGTTTCCCATACCAGTCTTAGAATGGCCTGGGTTGGAAGGGAACTTAAAGATCATTTGATTCCAAACCTCTGCCAYGGGCAGGGCACCTTCCACTATCCCAGGGTGCTCCAAGGCCCATCCAACCTGRCCTTGGACACTTCCAGAGATGGGGCAGCTACAGCTTCTCTGGGCAACCTAGAAAATTTCTGCTGGTAAARTGGACAGAGTGACACAAGAAGTGACTGGAAATCATCATTTCCCCCTCAGAAAGTTTTATGGATTACAGACAATGTGATTAACCAAAACATTAGTTGGTCAGATAGCTGAGTGTATTTCCTTTAGGATTTCTCAACTGGACACAATAAATGCTGTCTAAAAATCGSAGAAATTCTTCTGGGTTGCCCAGARGTCTGACCTCAGTTTGAAACTGGTTTGTGCTTAATGCCAAACACATTCTAAATGAAGACTGAAACATAATTAGTTTCATTTCATAGCAGTTTAAAGCAGATGCAAAATTAAATATTAATTACAACAGTGGGTCTGTTTTGTTCCCTTTTTACCTTCCTTAGGCAGTTTGGCACTAACCTCATATTTTTCCAGTGCCTCTCCTCCACAGATCTTGGAACTGCCGTTTTCAAGGGGTGACACCAGTGACAGTCTTTCGCCTGTAAACGAGCCAGTGCCAAGTGACTCAGCTCTGACCTATTTCTATTGTATCATCATTAGAAACAACCGTGTTTTGCTGCGGTGATGAAACCCCAGCTGTGAGCTGTGTCTCAGGCCTGGTTTACAGGGACAAGACTCCAACATGAGCCAACAYTGATAACATCTATACTCTTGTAAGTTCATGTACAGGTCCATTTGCAAAAGCGACAGCCCTTCAGGCAAAGTTTTAGAGAGACTTTGAAGTCACCCGGCTTGGCTTTGTGAGAAAACAGCGTGAAAAGCCTGTGGCCTCTGCTTAGAGCCTCGTGGCTTGGCTGCTAGATCAGGTTTCCCTTTTCCATTGTCATTTGGAGTCTGATCTTGCTTCTTGCTCTTACAAATACACCCAGCAGAGACCTCTGCTGAATTTCTTCCGTTTTGTGCCGTTGCACTTCCCTGCCTGTRTGATGCTCCTCTGAAGGATGTGCTGGCCTGAAGAGAGGCATAACCCAGGAAAATTCTAAATCCTACACAGAGATTGTGCTGCGGACAGTTCTCAAATTGGGCCTGCTGGACAACACAGTTCTTTGAATTTCCTTCATGGCACAGTGACTTTGGGAATGTCTTTTAACAGTTTTTAAGCTGGCTCTCAGTGTGATATGCTGCCAACAGGGAGCAGAAGCAGCCCCTTGGGACCAGCTGGCTGCACGGACACCTTCTCTTGTGCCAGAGCTGTGGCTGCAGCTGTGTGGCAGAGCGGGCACTCAGGTGAGCCGTGCCGCGGGGCTGTTCCCATCCCATCAGAGGAGCAAACAAGYTGAATTTAGAATCACAGAATCATAGAATATCCTGAGGTGGAAGGGACCCACAGGTCATCCAGTGCAGCTCCTGGCCCTGCACAGACACACCAACAATCCCACCCTGTGCATTCCTGAGAGCATTGTCCGAATGCTCCTGGAGCTCTGGCAGCCTCGGGGCCGGGACCATTCCCTGGGGAGCCTGGGCAGTGCCAGCACCCTGTGGGCACACAAGAACCTTTCCCTGCTCTCCAGCCGGAGCCTGGCCTGGCCCAGCTGCAGCCATTCCCTCAGGTCCTGTCCCTGTCCCAGAGAGCAGAGCTCAGTGCCTGTCCCTCCTCTGACCCTCATGAGGAAGCTACAGACTGTGATTAGRTCTCCCCTCAGAGAGAGCATGAGGAAGCTGGAAAAACTGAGATAAATTTTTTTGGGGTGTGCTGGATAACAATGCTAATTTCATCCCTCATCCAACAGCCAGTTATGTCCCACCCACAGCTCACCCACAGCTTTGCTCAGGTTCTGAAAACCCCCACAAGAAAGGTCCCTCTCTTGCTCTTCAGATGCTTGCAAGGCCTCTGTCAGATGAACCCAAGCTTTTGCTCTAAGAAATGTTCCCAAGTAATCCTAGGATGGAAACACAGCCGGTCTGCTGACCTTTCCCTCTCTCCTTCACTGCACTGGCCTAATTCTTGCAGTTTCTGCATGTTGCATTTTGGAAGAGCTCAAATAACAACCCAGTTTATTTTTAGAAAAAGCTCAATAGCAAGACCRAGCTATCACCACATCATTTCCACAGGACAGGCATTTAAGGAGACAGACACTTTCCCTTTTTCTGTGTTCTTCTTTGCATCAGCTCCTTTCTCTCTAACAAGTTGCAGCAAAACTCAGTGATTTTTCTTAGCTCAGTGTAAATCTCTGCTTTGCATACCTTGGTTTGTAATCTGAATAGGTGTTGACTGACTGCAGCTGCTGCTGAGGGATCCCTTTCCCAGAGCCCTGGAGCCCAGCAGAGCCCTGAGCCCATGTTCTCCCTGACAAGTGCTTGCACTGAGACTCCCACAAGGTTCAGTGTTGTTTCCTGGCTGCATCAGCAGGAGCAGCAGCTGCCCAGCAGGGATTCCAATCACCTCTGAGAGCCCTTTTGAACAGAATCACAGTCACAGAATCACAGCATGGGTCAGGTTAGAAGGGACCACAGTGGGGCATCTGGTTCAGCCTCYCTGCTCCAGCAGGGCCATATCAGGGCACAAGGCACAGGAGTGTGTCCAGAGGGTGATGGAATATCCCAGCACCCTCTGGACACCCTCAGCACCCAGTGAGGGAGACTCCACACCCTCTCCAGACAATCTGTTCAGGGCTTGGTCACAGCACAGCTCCAGCCCTTCACAGGTTCCAAGCTGAGCCTACTAAATGCCAGAAATTGCTGGTCATGTTGTTCAGTGGTGGTCAGTGAAACCCCAGGAACTTGTTATGTTATAGAATCTCTACYTTTGGTGCAGATAACCTGGGAAATGTGAGGCTCACCTGCCATTTGGCTGGGAAGTCTTCAGAGACTTTCTCTAAAACYACAGGTCCCAACCTGGTGTGATTATGGCTAGAAAGATCTGTATCTCCTGACCCCCAACTTCCTGATTAACTTAATTTTAATTAATTTCTATTAATTCCATAATTCACAATTAATTCATATTTCCATCCATTATTTTTTTCTATTTGTTCCTGTTCGTTTTTTTTTTATTATCTGTTTCTTAGAATTTTAGCAACATTGTTTTTTTCAACTATTTTTCCTTCTCCCTGTTCATTTTATCTTGCAGTTTGTATTTTTTTTTCCCTTCGTTTATCTTTGGTTTTGGCAGTATAATTCTCTTTACGATGGTGTTTCCCCAGTGACTGCCCAATTGCCTCTTCTTCAGGGCCTCTTTGCTCTCCCTAGGGGTGAAAAAGGGCAGGAAATTCCAAAGAAAGCTGCTCCTGGATGGCAGTGGAGGAGAGGTCAGGCCAAACACATCACACAGGAGGTTGGTCACTTCACAGCAGGCATCCACAATCAGATGTAGGAGAGGGAGAGGCTGAGCATCCTGTCCTGCTGGCCACAGCCTGRGGAAGCAGACTCTGGACAATGGACTGATTTCTTCCCACTGTCCTCACCACAAATCCCACTCCTTTCACTTGCAGCTTGCCCAAAGTTCATAGAAAGAAAACCTGGTTTCTGCAGTAGCATTCCAGTGCAACAAACAACCGAGTGGAGACTCAAATCGTATTTCAATTTGTTACAAATACATGCACTCCATGTGGCTTTTCACCAGTTCAATTTAATTCCCACAAAATGTTTTGATCCTGCAACTTACCACTTTTGGGGCCTTTGTTCTTGAATCTCATGGGATTGCATACCAGAATTKGCCTATCCAGTGGGAAGGCAGCTACATTTTAGAGGCAGGCTTGTTCTGTGACTGCAATATTCATTTTATATGCCTGCTAAYACCATGTATCCAGATGAGAGGCTTTACAATCACACCCCACCAAGGAAACACCACCAAGAACTGAGAGAAGCAACCAAATTCACTAAAGGAATTAAAGCAAGCCAGGCAAATTTAGGTCAAGGTGAGTTTATTGTCCATACAGCATACCTAATCCCGCCAAAACACTTTTCRTAGAACCATCTTTAAACTAGTCAAAACAGTAGATTATTAATAAAAATGACAAAGACCTTTTAAAAGGCAATCAAGATTACACCGTATCAGAATCTTATCCATCAAAAACAACATCGTGTACTTTCTAAATACTTTTGTTTACACTGAAGTCTACTACCACACTTTCTAGCATCCCCTGACCACATAAACAACCACACCTCTTAAAGAGCACATTTGTGAAAGAATAACATTGACTTGATATGGCATCACACTCAATAAAGCAAAAAAAAAAAAAAAAACCAAAAAAAAAACCCAAAAAAAAACCAAAACAAAAAAACCCCAACGAAACAAAACCAAAAAAAGTTTGAGAACAGAAACTGTGCAACCGAGAGTGATTTCTGAGGTACATGAGAACATGGTAATAAACATAGTGGAAAAAATCCAGTGGCCAGGTGGYTTGCTGTAATTAAGCCCTGTCTGATTACTCAAGCATAAATCATCAACATTGACATGGGATWAATCATTATTTTTCTCTGTCACAAGCATGTTGGAAATACAAATAAATACATTATGAGGTGCTCCTACACTACAGTAAGAGGAAGGAGGGAAGATCATCGAAGTACCATCAATAGGAAGCTGAGAGGGAAACATTTTAGCAATTGTACCAGTCCTTTGGCACTAGGGAAGGCAGAATTAGAAACACGTTTTTAATTCTTTTTTAATCAATCAGTTGGGAGATTTAAAATTTCTGCAATTTAAGGGGAAAAATCCCACACCTCATTTGCATCAACAACACATTTCCTTTAACATCTGTTAAAAGACAGTACTAGGCAGYAATTTTATCCTGAAAGCCACTGTGACAATGCTCAAGTCGTAGGGTTTCCAGCCTTTAAACATACAGTACACTCTAACTAGAGGGTTGGCACTTGCTGAGCCGAGGACACTCTTCAGCCTGGCAGGGGCACACAGAGCCGGTCAGACCCCACAGGGGACTGGGAATGCGGAACAGCACTGTCCCTTCCAGCACAGCACACCCTCACCCTGCCACGGAGGAGCACACAGCCCCTGCCCCATCAGTTCTGCA